TTTTTTTTTTTTTTTTTTTTTTTTTTTTTTTTTTTTTTTTTTTTTTTTTTTTTTTTTTTTTTTTTTTTTTTTTTTTTTTTTTTTTTTTTTTTTTTTTTTTTTTTTTTTTTTTTTTTTTTTTTTTTTTTTTTTTTTTTTTTTTTTTTTTTTTTTTTTTTTTTTTTTTTTTTTTTTTTTTTTTTTTTTTTTTTTTTTTTTTTTTTTTTTTTTTTTTTTTTTTTTTTTTTTTTTTTTTTTTTTTTTTTTTTTTTTTTTTTTTTTTTTTTTTTTTTTTTTTTTTTTTTTTTTTTTTTTTTTTTTTTTTTTTTTTTTTTTTTTTTTTTTTTTTTTTTTTTTTTTTTTTTTTTTTTTTTTTTTTTTTTTTTTTTTTTTTTTTTTTTTTTTTTTTTTTTTTTTTTTTTTTTTTTTTTTTTTTTTTTTTTTTTTTTTTTTTTTTTTTTTTTTTTTTTTTTTTTTTTTTTTTTTTTTTTTTTTTTTTTTTTTTTTTTTTTTTTTTTTTTTTTTTTTTTTTTTTTTTTTTTTTTTTTTTTTTTTTTTTTTTTTTTTTTTTTTTTTTTTTTTTTTTTTTTTTTTTTTTTTTTTTTTTTTTTTTTTTTTTTTTTTTTTTTTTTTTTTTTTTTTTTTTTTTTTTTTTTTTTTTTTTTTTTTTTTTTTTTTTTTTTTTTTTTTTTTTTTTTTTTTTTTTTTTTTTTTTTTTTTTTTTTTTTTTTTTTTTTTTTTTTTTTTTTTTTTTTTTTTTTTTTTTTTTTTTTTTTTTTTTTTTTTTTTTTTTTTTTTTTTTTTTTTTTTTTTTTTTTTTTTTTTTTTTTTTTTTTTTTTTTTTTTTTTTTTTTTTTTTTTTTTTTTTTTTTTTTTTTTTTTTTTTTTTTTTTTTTTTTTTTTTTTTTTTTTTTTTTTTTTTTTTTTTTTTTTTTTTTTTTTTTTTTTTTTTTTTTTTTTTTTTTTTTTTTTTTTTTTTTTTTTTTTTTTTTTTTTTTTTTTTTTTTTTTTTTTTTTTTTTTTTTTTTTTTTTTTTTTTTTTTTTTTTTTTTTTTTTTTTTTTTTTTTTTTTTTTTTTTTTTTTTTTTTTTTTTTTTTTTTTTTTTTTTTTTTTTTTTTTTTTTTTTTTTTTTTTTTTTTTTTTTTTTTTTTTTTTTTTTTTTTTTTTTTTTTTTTTTTTTTTTTTTTTTTTTTTTTTTTTTTTTTTTTTTTTTTTTTTTTTTTTTTTTTTTTTTTTTTTTTTTTTTTTTTTTTTTTTTTTTTTTTTTTTTTTTTTTTTTTTTTTTTTTTTTTTTTTTTTTTTTTTTTTTTTTTTTTTTTTTTTTTTTTTTTTTTTTTTTTTTTTTTTTTTTTTTTTTTTTTTTTTTTTTTTTTTTTTTTTTTTTTTTTTTTTTTTTTTTTTTTTTTTTTTTTTTTTTTTTTTTTTTTTTTTTTTTTTTTTTTTTTTTTTTTTTTTTTTTTTTTTTTTTTTTTTTTTTTTTTTTTTTTTTTTTTTTTTTTTTTTTTTTTTTTTTTTTTTTTTTTTTTTTTTTTTTTTTTTTTTTTTTTTTTTTTTTTTTTTTTTTTTTTTTTTTTTTTTTTTTTTTTTTTTTTTTTTTTTTTTTTTTTTTTTTTTTTTTTTTTTTTTTTTTTTTTTTTTTTTTTTTTTTTTTTTTTTTTTTTTTTTTTTTTTTTTTTTTTTTTTTTTTTTTTTTTTTTTTTTTTTTTTTTTTTTTTTTTTTTTTTTTTTTTTTTTTTTTTTTTTTTTTTTTTTTTTTTTTTTTTTTTTTTTTTTTTTTTTTTTTTTTTTTTTTTTTTTTTTTTTTTTTTTTTTTTTTTTTTTTTTTTTTTTTTTTTTTTTTTTTTTTTTTTTTTTTTTTTTTTTTTTTTTTTTTTTTTTTTTTTTTTTTTTTTTTTTTTTTTTTTTTTTTTTTTTTTTTTTTTTTTTTTTTTTTTTTTTTTTTTTTTTTTTTTTTTTTTTTTTTTTTTTTTTTTTTTTTTTTTTTTTTTTTTTTTTTTTTTTTTTTTTTTTTTTTTTTTTTTTTTTTTTTTTTTTTTTTTTTTTTTTTTTTTTTTTTTTTTTTTTTTTTTTTTTTTTTTTTTTTTTTTTTTTTTTTTTTTTTTTTTTTTTTTTTTTTTTTTTTTTTTTTTTTTTTTTTTTTTTTTTTTTTTTTTTTTTTTTTTTTTTTTTTTTTTTTTTTTTTTTTTTTTTTTTTTTTTTTTTTTTTTTNAACACTTTAAAAGTTTCATAAACACGTCTTACGGGAGGGAGTATATCTTGCCCCATAGAATTGTAATCGACGGTAGCCATGTCTTCGTGAGGAAGCTTCTTCATGTACTCCACGGATTCAAAATCTAAGTAGCGAGTGTTCCGAATGATTCGGGCGTGCTCCCTCTTTGCCTTTTAACGGACTTACTACTAAACACAAGTGTTAGATTAAAGGCGATTATAATAAACTACGGACCGAAACGTTAGAGAACAATGTGCTTCTTACCAATGGTATGGTCTAATGATCAGGTCAACGTCTTACGTTCAATCTGTATCTCATTCTAGGCCGTTACACTCATGCTCTGTTGCAATTTGTTAAATCTTACCAAACACACGCTGGTTTACAAAACCCCTTCTTACCGAAATGTACCCTTTTTTTCCAGAACGAAGTAAATGTACGGATTTGTATACAAGACATATTTTTCGTAATGAAAACGTTAAAGTGTTTCATTTATTAGCGATTAAAATGTAAGCAAAAGAATAGAACAAACCATGTGATCCAAATATATTACCTATTAAAAGATTTTAAAAGAGCAATAAACTCATTAACTTTATTTTAATCTACAAAAAGAAAAGTATTGTACGGATTTTTAATTCGGCGCCTTCATAGCCATAAATAATAAATGCTTTCTCTTTCCAGTGGCGAAATATGATTTAGACATAATAAATTTACTGTTATTAATTTAATAAAATAATTTATCATATTTATATCGTTTATTATTACATTTATTTACTATATAATTTACCAATCTACTCAGTTAGATGATTTAATTTTATCGCAAGTTGAGTGGCTTTAACCTATTGTTATTTTATATATAGAATATTATTTGTTTATTCTTTATATAGAAAATTGAATAACTGCAGATATAAGTCGGAAGTAAAATACATTAAGGCGTTTCCCAAAACTTTTTTTATTGTTTTATTGTGTATTTAATTCCTAGCAATTCAATATTGCTGCGGTTAATAAAATAATTCATGGGCACTTCCGTTTGAAAAATGTCAAGATAACATATTATTATTATTATTATTATTGTTATTTTATTTAATAGGTCTATTTAGATTATTAAACTAGATCTATAGAATAATTTAATAATAAAAAATATTCTTAATATATTTGTTTTTAAAATTTAAAAATGGCCTAATTAATTTTTACCACTTGATCAATTTTGTTCCAATTGTCCCAAAAATCTTAAGGAATTTTCATAGAGTTTAACCATCACTCTTTAAAAATGACTAAATAAATCATTAAAATAAAAATTCAGCAAATTATTAGTTAATTGAGGGAAATAAATTATGTGTTTGATTATAATTATTTAACCAAAATTAATTATTTATTAGATAAAATTAGTATGTTCGTCCAACTTAAAAAAATTAAATTTAAGTTGATAAAAAATTTATTATTTTAAGATTAAATTTCTCATTTAAATAAATTTTTAATATAAAAATTGTGTGAAGTGGTAAGAAAAAGAGAAAAAAAAGAAAACAGAAAATAAGGAAAATTAATTTTTTTTCCAAGAAAGGAAATAAGAAGGAAATTTAAAAAGGAAATAAGATGAAATCTGTATAATTCTTTTTTTATACTATAATGTATCTATCTATATAGGACTTTTGTAAATGTGTATAGAGACATTACAGTATATAATACTGTATAAATTATTTGGTTGTTTATACTGTAAAAAGTAAGAAAGAATATGTATTCTTTGCTTGTACATGTAATTTTCTTAGTCTATATCAATTAGGCAAATATACTTAAGGGCTTATCACACCGGTGTGATAAGCCCTCAAGTATATTTGCCTAAAATTGATATAGATCAGTGTTTCTCAACGGGGGCGATATCTCCCCATGTGAGCGTTTTTCCATGTTCAGGGGATGATTAGTAACAATTTATATTTTGGGGGGCGAAAAACAATTTTCTGGGCGATATAGTAAAACATTATATTAAGAATAATTAGATATTTTATTCGTTATATCGTACAATAATTAAACAAATAACATTATACTAGTCACTAGTCTATTCAATGCAGTACGAATTTGGCGTTAGCCTTGTCCCTCGGCATCGGAATTTTGTAGTGAAGGGGGCGATACTACGTTGAAAGGGGCGACGATTCGTTAGAGGTTGAGAAACACTGATATAGATTAAGAAAAATAAAACAACATTAAGGCTAAAAGCAATAGACTATTCAATTGTACGTGTACATTTAAACTTAATAAATATATTACACTGATCAAATTGTAAATACTTTGCTGGCTTTTTAAATTTAAAATAATTGAAAATGTATATAAATTATACATAGAAGTTGGTTATAAATTATGCAAGTTTTATTAAGGATAAATGGATATTAATTACACGGAATTAATTGCATTTTTCTTTAATAAACTATTACAAAAGTTCCTATTCCTGTGTAATGCAACATTTTCCATGGAAAACTTTTTCTTATAATTTGATTTTACGTTGATTACTCCTTATAGCTATGATATTTAAATGTTAAAAAATTATTCGGGACAGTTTATTTTTCTTCAACTTGTAAGAAAAATATAAGTTTAAAATTTAAATTTAAATTTAATTATGAATTTTCTCTCCCTCTCTCCAACTTATGTGAAACAGAAATAGTGTAGCATGAATAATTGCAGAATATAAGAAATATTTCGATAAAAGCTTACCCCTGCGGAATCATCGATTTGTAATTTTAAAGGTAAAGATAATTTTTTTGGTACCACTTCGCTNTTTATTACTTTAGAAATAAAACATTATAATGTTATATTTAAATTATAAAACTCGTCTTAATTATTAACAAATATTATACAGGTTAAGAGAACAGGAGCTTAATGAGAATGGAGAAAGTTCTATGATTTAGAGAATTACTTCCTGTTTTCAACATGCACAAGCGCACATACAATCTTTTCCAGTTTCTCTTCTTGGGCGTGACTTATCTAAAAAGGAAAAAAAAAACAATTTATATGTAAACATGTACTAGTGGATACATTATATTTAACGGTTAACTAAGTTAAATTGGGTTAAAATTACAATTTCAAATGTCTTTAATTTGGCAGTATAGATTAATTTCGATAGGTTAGTTTCTTAATTATTGTCATATAAGAAGTTATTTTAATTATATCTTTCCTTATCCTTAATACATATTTGTTCGGCAGTAAAGCCGAACTTCATTAAATCTATAATGTTAATATAAACAAAAAGAAATAGTGCAGATAAACACGCCCTTATCAATGTTTCTATGTTTATCCGCATCAGGCAAGCGGAAAATTTTCCGTAAAAAATTGATTTATCATTATTATTGTTTTTTTTAATCTAAATGCCCATTTATACAAGGATCTATATATAAATAAACAATAAAGATGTTATCATTTACCTCCAAGAAAAGTTGCATTTTTAATAGGACGTCTTGGTTTATTCTTCTTAACGCCACTAAAGCAAGAAAATATCATTTTTTCTCCTGTTAAATGCACCATTCCTGGATCCGAAGTTATGTTACCGAATGGAGTCATCAACTTAAATAAATTTTAAATATATTTTTAATAAGCATAAAGTATTTTAATTTTGTATAAATTATCGTGTAAAAGTTTTAATTTATTTTTTTAAAGTATTAATTTTAGATATTATCAACAGTAAATAAATAAATAAATAAATAAAATACTTAACTGTTTTCGGTTCTTGTGATATAATTTGGCTGGCTTTGCGCTTTTCTATTATACAATTGACGTGAGCTTTTTGATTTTTATTCAGCATCTTCTAAAAATAATTTAAATAAATAAATTATTTTTAATTTGTTTATTTAAAATGTATTTTAATTAATTAGTTTCTTATCAGATACGTACGCATTTCTAAAAATTTCCGTTTCTACTAAAATTTAGCCTAATTTTGATCACCTACTTTTTGTTGAAAAAGTCGGAAAACATTTCAGAAATAAATAAAAAAAAAGAACATTTCAACGCTTCGTTACATTTTTTAATGTCGTCATTTCTCCTAATAATTCTAACGGAACAAATTATTTTTAATTATTCACATTTAATTCCAACATCCTAAATTTTTTATAGTTTTTATTCTTCTCTATTTTTGTGTATGTCAAATATAAAATTTATTTTTAAATTATTATTATTTTGAATTTTTTTTTCGCTTTAGTGTCATATCATTCAGTTTTTTCCTTATTTTTTTCTCATTTCTTCCATTTTTTTTATATGCATGTAGGGAAATTAATTCTAAAATATATAAATCTTTTGGAGTAAAATAGCAAAACATATATATTTTAAGTAAGGAGGAAAATCTAGATGCGTTTACACGTTAAAATTACAACTAAATTTGCGTGTCAAATCGTATCTACTGTTTATTTTACATATAAAAATTAAAAAATTACGTTGCTATTTTAAAGTAAATCTATAAATCTGAAAGTAGCCTGTAATTTTTAAAGTATAGAATTAATATACATATCAAACTTATAGAAATACTGTATGATATTCTATAAATTTTATAAGTCTATACAACTTATAAAAGTATGTAAACTTATATTTGTAAGTTTAATTTTTTATTCTATAAGTTTTACATAATAATTTTATACGTCTAAAATAATTCTTAGTAATTTATATATGTATAAAATTATTATGTAAAAATTATGTTAATAATGTTACTTAAAAATAGAAAAAAATCTATATATTTTAAATATTTTAACCATGCAATTATATATATTACTGTATTTACAGTATAAATTTAATATATATACTAAATACTGTATGTAGGTATGTATCTATACTGTATATACACTGTATTTATTGTGTATATAGTATATTAAATACGGTATACAAATTATTATTAAAATTCGAAAAATTAAGATTCTTGCTGAAATCTTTTAAAGTAAAAAAAATTAAGCAATAATTTGTATACAGTTAATTTATTTTCGTACATATTTAATACAGATTTAAAACTGAAGATAAATTTAGTAAAATTTAAAATAATACCATGACGTGGAAACAGTCATGTTTATTTAGGACAATAAGATAAAGATTATTACCAGAAGTCGTATTGTCCAACTTCAATTCTTATATCGTATACGGTTCTAGTTTACTGAGTAATTTGGTAGTTTCTTATCCGGATGAAATGCATCAAATCCCTTCCCACCCTCTTATCTTAATATGATAAAATGCAATCAGAACGTAAGATTCACGAGGAAGAAGACAAATGATTTTTCCACAACCCAATAATTTGTTTCTCTCCGATGCTTACAATGAATTTGTACTGAATGGTATTAATCATTATTTGATAATGATTAAATTTCAATTAAAACCGATTCGTAATGGTTGAATAAAAGTTGATGAAGATTATTACAGCTGAGTACAATGATCTCCTACTAATGAATCGAGAAACGATGAGAAAGTTTTAGTGATTAGGCTCTAAATTACTTTAAACTTTTAATGTGAGCATCTCTCTTTAAAAGTCATTTGCATTAACAAAATTCTATTCTAATTAATTCATTAACAATAAATTAACTTAATTAATTCATTAAATTTTCTGAAAATTTCCTTTTATTATTATTTTTTAATCGCTTTAATTTTAAAAATTAAACGTTAATTAATATACAGTATTATTTATTTACTTTATCTGTACATAAAATATTACTTTATACTTATGAATAATTGCAGAATATAAGAAATATTTCGATAAAAGCTTACCCCTGCGGAATCATCGATTTGTAATTTTAAAGGTAAAGATAATTTTTTTGGTACCACTTCGCTAGCCACAGCATTCAGAGGTTCTTCTTCTATAGATGCCAACTTGTCAATTCTCCGAGAAAACTAAAAATTAAAATTTATGATTATTTATTGCAATGAAAATATCGTTTACCTTACTAAATAAAAACATATACTTGATTTTCTTGAATTGTACAAGGACACTCTCGACCTTGAGATCTAATATACATCCCAGCCAAAACAAATACTCCGATGATCACAGTCATGGTTACTACAGTGTAAGATATAATCCTAGTTAATTTTTGCGAGTTTGATCCAGGTTGTTTGTAAGCCTACTCGGAAATAAAATTAATTTAAAAAAATAATAAGACACTGTAAAATTTTCATTATCACATAAACATGTAGACTAAACACTTTAAAAGTTTCATAAACACGTCTTACGGGAGGGAGTATATCTTGCCCCATAGAATTGTAATCGACGGTAGCCATGTCTTCGTGAGGAAGCTTCTTCATGTACTCCACGGATTCAAAATCTAAGTAGCGAGTGTTCCGAATGATTCGGGCGTGCTCCCTCTTTGCCTTTTAACGGACTTACTACTAAACACAAGTGTTAGATTAAAGGCGATTATAATAAACTACGGACCGAAACGTTAGAGAACAATGTGCTTCTTACCAATGGTATGGTCTAATGATCAGGTCAACGTCTTACGTTCAATCTGTATCTCATTCTAGGCCGTTACACTCATGCTCTGTTGCAATTTGTTAAATCTTACCAAACACACGCTGGTTTACAAAACCCCTTCTTACCGAAATGTACCCTTTTTTTCCAGAACGAAGTAAATGTACGGATTTGTATACAAGACATATTTTTCGTAATGAAAACGTTAAAGTGTTTCATTTATTAGCGATTAAAATGTAAGCAAAAGAATAGAACAAACCATGTGATCCAAATATATTACCTATTAAAAGATTTTAAAAGAGCAATAAACTCATTAACTTTATTTTAATCTACAAAAAGAAAAGTATTGTACGGATTTTTAATTCGGCGCCTTCATAGCCATAAATAATAAATGCTTTCTCTTTCCAGTGGCGAAATATGATTTAGACATAATAAATTTACTGTTATTAATTTAATAAAATAATTTATCATATTTATATCGTTTATTATTACATTTATTTACTATATAATTTACCAATCTACTCAGTTAGATGATTTAATTTTATCGCAAGTTGAGTGGCTTTAACCTATTGTTATTTTATATATAGAATATTATTTGTTTATTCTTTATATAGAAAATTGAATAACTGCAGATATAAGTCGGAAGTAAAATACATTAAGGCGTTTCCCAAAACTTTTTTTATTGTTTTATTGTGTATTTAATTCCTAGCAATTCAATATTGCTGCGGTTAATAAAATAATTCATGGGCACTTCCGTTTGAAAAATGTCAAGATAACATATTATTATTATTATTATTATTGTTATTTTATTTAATAGGTCTATTTAGATTATTAAACTAGATCTATAGAATAATTTAATAATAAAAAATATTCTTAATATATTTGTTTTTAAAATTTAAAAATGGCCTAATTAATTTTTACCACTTGATCAATTTTGTTCCAATTGTCCCAAAAATCTTAAGGAATTTTCATAGAGTTTAACCATCACTCTTTAAAAATGACTAAATAAATCATTAAAATAAAAATTCAGCAAATTATTAGTTAATTGAGGGAAATAAATTATGTGTTTGATTATAATTATTTAACCAAAATTAATTATTTATTAGATAAAATTAGTATGTTCGTCCAACTTAAAAAAATTAAATTTAAGTTGATAAAAAATTTATTATTTTAAGATTAAATTTCTCATTTAAATAAATTTTTAATATAAAAATTGTGTGAAGTGGTAAGAAAAAGAGAAAAAAAAGAAAACAGAAAATAAGGAAAATTAATTTTTTTTCCAAGAAAGGAAATAAGAAGGAAATTTAAAAAGGAAATAAGATGAAATCTGTATAATTCTTTTTTTATACTATAATGTATCTATCTATATAGGACTTTTGTAAATGTGTATAGAGACATTACAGTATATAATACTGTATAAATTATTTGGTTGTTTATACTGTAAAAAGTAAGAAAGAATATGTATTCTTTGCTTGTACATGTAATTTTCTTAGTCTATATCAATTAGGCAAATATACTTAAGGGCTTATCACACCGGTGTGATAAGCCCTCAAGTATATTTGCCTAAAATTGCTATAGATCAGTGTTTCTCAACGGGGGCGATATCTCCCCATGTGAGCGTTTTTCCATGTTCAGGGGATGATTAGTAACAATTTATATTTTGGGGGGCGAAAAACAATTTTCTGGGCGATACAGTAAAACATTATATTAAGAATAATTAGATATTTTATTCGTTATATCGTACAATNCTTATTTTTTTCTATAAAAATTAAAATAATTAATTATAAAGTAGAGATTAAAATTAATTTTAAAACATACTTTTATACAAAATATTATCTCTTGTCAATGATTTAATGTATTTAATCGAAATATACGTAGCAATAATCATGTTGCAGACAGAGTGAGAAATAAGTAAACAACAATTCAAATCGGTGTGGAGGGAACACTGGCCACTGCCCACGTGGTCTACTCACCTATGAAAATTCATGAGCCGATTCCAATTCGAATTCTCTAGATAAGCAGGTTTGTGTCTGAGAGGTTTTTCAACTGATGGTCTATTTTGGCCTAGGCCATTATGCCCATATTTACAACCAAGAATCAAAAGTTTGAGTTAGAAGTTAGCCGATTAATGTTCATGTACTAAAGTGAATGGTAATTGTTTTTTTTTTTTTTTTTTTTTTTTTTTATTATAAAAGTTGGCGGTTAGACACTCTCTTCCCGCTCGAAGAGAACGAAGAGACTTACAAGAGTGTATATTTGGTTCCAAGAACGACTCATTAATGCATCTTAGGGAAGCTACCCATTCGGTAAATTTCTTAAGATTTTTGGGACAATTGGCACAAAATTGATCAAGTAGTAAAAATTAATTAAGCCATTTTTAAATTTTAAAAACAAATATATTAAGAATATTTTTTATTATTAAATTATTCAATGATAATAAAATATAAAACTTGAATAAGCCTTTTAATTCTTATTTTTATTGTGATGAGGCTCTTTTAATTATTATTTTCTTCGCTTTTATTGAAATATGTAGAAGTAAGAAAGTCATGCATTTATGAATTTTTTTTACATCACAGAACGAATATCATATAGCTTATAATGCCTTATAAATAAAAATAACTCTATAAAAATCTTCAAAAATCTTGAATTTATATCATTGTGAAAAAGTTTTCTTTACAGTTATGGCCATATTCACAACCAAGGATCAAAAGTTAGAGTTATAAGTTAATCAATTACCATTACCATCGTACGTTAACCGAAGAAAAGAATAAGACTCCTCTGTGAAGGTAGTATAAATGATAGTTGATTGTAAACTCTCTCTCTTATAGATTAGAATCTCAGGTTAATTTCGAATAATCTCGCAAAATCTTTTAATTGATTCTCATGCGCATAAGTATAGTGTATCCCATTTATAATAATAAAATAATAATAATAATAATAATAATAAACCAAATGTTTTCTTTTGTTTTCTTGTCTTTATATGTATATCATGTTTGGGTGTTGGTANTCTTGAATAATCTCGCAAAATCTTTTAATTGATTCTCATGCGCATAAGTATAGTGTATCCCATTTATAATAATAAAATAATAATAATAATAATAATAATAAACCAAATGTTTTCTTTTGTTTTCTTGTCTTTATATGTATATCATGTTTGGGTGTTGGTATCAATAACTATATGTTATTTAAGTCTTAGTTCAGTATTTATTCCTGTATATAATTTTAGATTTAGCCCTCTATTTTTATTTTGATTAGTATAATAAGCTATTTGTACATGGAATGCTCAGAGGCTTAATGAAACCCCCTTCTCTATCTCTTCTCGGTCCATTACATGCTGTTGCCCCGTAGGCTACCGAATGGGTAGCTTCCCTATGCATTAGTGTGTCATTCTTGGAACCAAATATACACTCTTGTAAGTCTCTTTTAATGCTTTTCGAGCGGGAAGAGAGTGTCTCATTAACCGCCAACTTTTACAAAAAAAAAAAAAAGAAAGAAAAAACCAATTACCATTCACTTTAGTATATGAATATTAATTGGTTAACTTCTAACTCAAACTTTTAATTATTGGTTGTAAATATGGGCATGAAAGATTATATATAAATACATGGGGGTCTGTAGAAGCACTCGAGTAAAATATTCCATAAATTATAATCGTAAAAGCAATTGAGAGGTAACCCTTAAACCCCGACCATGGCAATACTGTATTCTATAATCTACTCGTGAAACAAGCCCCCAAAAATTTATTGATGTAATTATTTGTCTCCAATCTTCGCCCTCCTGGAAAATTTTATGCATACGCCCATGTATAAACATATAGATAATAATAATAACGTTGCAATACATAGAAAATGATACGGGTAAATAACATAAAAAATCGAAGTTTTTATTCTAAAATTCTAATTTAATCAACTCATAATTAAACTAAATAAAAAATTATCCACTTTTAGACACAAAACTAAACAGAGAACAATTAAAACGATAAAAAAAATGCTCTTAAAATTTAGAATATTCTGTCGTAACTTTTAAGATATAAAACAGTGTAATATAAAAGGACAAATAACAACCTAAAGCTTAGAAAAATTTCAAAAAAACACTTTAATTTTTCAGGTTTTTTTTAAAATAAATTGAATAATTCGAATATTAATAGACAATGATAAAATATTTGTCTGTTTAAATCGAAGAAATGCGCTTTTATCCCAAATCTTAACAGATTCTAAGATAAATTTCAGAGACTTCTGGAATTAATATTTTAATTAGCTGTAATATAACTTTTTACTGTTATATTTATCATTGTTTTCCCTTTCCGTAAAATTATAATTAAAAATTTCGAAATAAATGTTTTTATGGATGCATTTAAAATCTATTTAATGACCCTATAAATTGCGCAAATTACGTTATTAGTTAACTTATATTCTTCAAAAACACGGAATCATTTTTAGGCTTTGAAATGTCGTATTATCTGAGTGACAGGTAATTTTCAAATCTTTCTTAAATCACGTGATACGATGTCACGCGCTAGATACCTCACTTCTTTTTGATCATCAGAATGGATCGTTCATTATTGTTATTATGTTATTAGATATAATATAAATTCGAAAAAAATTTAAACAAAATATTTAAAATGTTGTTGTACACGGATGTAGAGTAATCAGAACTTTTGAAATGGAAATTTATTTTAATTTCTTCAAAATATACAAAGTTTTATTCCAAATGTTTTGAATAAAACAATACTCAGTTATCTTTCTGTATGTCTTCTGCTTTCATCTTTCACGGAGCCTCAAGCATTATTATGATCTAAATAAAAAGACATGTAATGTGATGGTTGTGTTAAAATTCTTACTTTTTACTTGCAGAGAATATAGAATCAAACCTAGATATAGCGACTTCCTAAATAACACCAAAGAATACCTGTGAAAGAGTTTCTCCCTTCTGTATCTATGAATTATTAGGTGTACGATTTTGCATTACAAACGACATCGTTATTACTTAATGGCATGACTTCTCTCAAAACTTGTTTGTGGACTACTTCAATTATACAATTTTTATTGTTTGAAGTATTTCTATTTAACTCCACATTCGATTTACTGCTATATACAGAAGCATATGATGGCGCCTAGTCGGAGTTTATATGACCAATAGCTACGAATTTTACAGTCGAAGCATTTCAATGAGGATTGAGAAATGGCTGGATTATCCATATTTCATTTAAAGCAGAACTATTAAAAATCATTTGAATATTTTTATATCAGCACTTTCTCAAGCCATGTTCTGAAACAGTTTTACTGTATAACCAAGATTTTATTTTAAAAAAATAATAATAATTACAATTGCTTCNCCAAATACGGTATACAAATTATTATTAAAATTCGAAAAATTAAGATTCTTGCTGAAATCTTTTAAAGTAAAAAAAATTAAGCAATAATTTGTATACAGTTAATTTATTTTCGTACATATTTAATACAGATTTAAAACTGAAGATAAATTTAGTAAAATTTAAAATAATACCATGACGTGGAAACAGTCATGTTTATTTAGGACAATAAGATAAAGATTATTACCAGAAGTCGTATTGTCCAACTTCAATTCTTATATCGTATACGGTTCTAGTTTACTGAGTAATTTGGTAGTTTCTTATCCGGATGAAATGCATCAAATCCCTTCCCACCCTCTTATCTTAATATGATAAAATGCAATCAGAACGTAAGATTCACGAGGAAGAAGACAAATGATTTTTCCACAACCCAATAATTTGTTTCTCTCCGATGCTTACAATGAATTTGTACTGAATGGTATTAATCATTATTTGATAATGATTAAATTTCAATTAAAACCGATTCGTAATGGTTGAATAAAAGTTGATGAAGATTATTACAGCTGAGTACAATGATCTCCTACTAATGAATCGAGAAACGATGAGAAAGTTTTAGTGATTAGGCTCTAAATTACTTTAAACTTTTAATGTGAGCATCTCTCTTTAAAAGTCATTTGCATTAACAAAATTCTATTCTAATTAATTCATTAACAATAAATTAACTTAATTAATTCATTAAATTTTCTGAAAATTTCCTTTTATTATTATTTTTTAATCGCTTTAATTTTAAAAATTAAACGTTAATTAATATACAGTATTATTTATTTACTTTATCTGTACATAAAATATTACTTTATACTTATGAATAATTGCAGAATATAAGAAATATTTCGATAAAAGCTTACCCCTGCGGAATCATCGATTTGTAATTTTAAAGGTAAAGATAATTTTTTTGGTACCACTTCGCTAGCCACAGCATTCAGAGGTTCTTCTTCTATAGATGCCAACTTGTCAATTCTCCGAGAAAACTAAAAATTAAAATTTATGATTATTTATTGCAATGAAAATATCGTTTACCTTACTAAATAAAAACATATACTTGATTTTCTTGAATTGTACAAGGACACTCTCGACCTTGAGATCTAATATACATCCCAGCCAAAACAAATACTCCGATGATCACAGTCATGGTTACTACAGTGTAAGATATAATCCTAGTTAATTTTTGCGAGTTTGATCCAGGTTGTTTGTAAGCCTACTCGGAAATAAAATTAATTTAAAAAAATAATAAGACACTGTAAAATTTTCATTATCACATAAACATGTAGACTAAACACTTTAAAAGTTTCATAAACACGTCTTACGGGAGGGAGTATATCTTGCCCCATAGAATTGTAATCGACGGTAGCCATGTCTTCGTGAGGAAGCTTCTTCATGTACTCCACGGATTCAAAATCTAAGTAGCGAGTGTTCCGAATGATTCGGGCGTGCTCCCTCTTTGCCTTTTAACGGACTTACTACTAAACACAAGTGTTAGATTAAAGGCGATTATAATAAACTACGGACCGAAACGTTAGAGAACAATGTGCTTCTTACCAATGGTATGGTCTAATGATCAGGTCAACGTCTTACGTTCAATCTGTATCTCATTCTAGGCCGTTACACTCATGCTCTGTTGCAATTTGTTAAATCTTACCAAACACACGCTGGTTTACAAAACCCCTTCTTACCGAAATGTACCCTTTTTTTCCAGAACGAAGTAAATGTACGGATTTGTATACAAGACATATTTTTCGTAATGAAAACGTTAAAGTGTTTCATTTATTAGCGATTAAAATGTAAGCAAAAGAATAGAACAAACCATGTGATCCAAATATATTACCTATTAAAAGATTTTAAAAGAGCAATAAACTCATTAACTTTATTTTAATCTACAAAAAGAAAAGTATTGTACGGATTTTTAATTCGGCGCCTTCATAGCCATAAATAATAAATGCTTTCTCTTTCCAGTGGCGAAATATGATTTAGACATAATAAATTTACTGTTATTAATTTAATANCTCGATGATTATTAAGATTAGATTTATACGCATTTTATAATGGATTTGTTTTTTTTTAATAAATTCTTAACGAATAAATTAAAAATAAAAATTGATTACTAGTTTTTTGCAAATTTTTCATGTTACCGGTTCTATTTCTTGTTTAAAATTTTATATAAAACTAATAAATGTTTTATATTAATAATTACTTATAGCATTAATATTGCTGCTTTTATCAATCGATACCAGAGGGCACTTCCTTATCTCTGTTTTGTATTCAGGAAAAATTGATGATGACGTCAGCATCACATGATGATTACAAATCGGAAATTACTGCTTTCTGGTTTGTCATGCTTGACAGTAAACTATTTAAACACGTTTAAACAATCAATTTCTACACTTTAATTGAATAAGTATTCCAATCCAAAATAGTCTAGTCACCTTTTCATGCAGCTTCTCTAACAATCAATATGTGATATTATTGTTTTAATTATTAAATTAGGAAACACGTTAAAAGCTTCTAAACGCAAAAATTTGAACAATTGTTTAATTTCTTTTTAAGTTTAAAAGATATTTACTCTTTTAATTAACATTCATGGGATATAATCTCTAAAAATATGTTCCATTAGAATAATAAGCTTAAAACGAAACCTATGAATTCATAAGAGATAATTATCATTCAGATAATCCTTATTTAAAGTGACAGAAAAATATATGAAATGAAGAAAATATCATTAAAATAATATTTATGTTTTTTCCAAATTATTTTATTTCATTAATCATCATCATTATTATTCATTCAACGATTAGGGCTTTTGCTTGATCCCATCATTATCATGTTGTTATTTTTTATCAGTTGATATTAGAAAACTTTTTGTTGAATTTTTCTACAAGAATAGTATTATCATATGATTAAAAATCATATTTTACACATTTATTTTATTAAATTTTTTATCTCGAATTTTAAACAATTGGGTGTATTTTAGTAGGAAAATTATAATTACTGAACAGTACTAATTTCACGTCGTTTATCTATTTGTAACATTGTTATTGTTTTGTAAAAAAAGAACAAAATAAAATACAGTATTTTATATTCAAATTAATTTTTGTTTTTTTTGACACATTTTTTCATATCTTAATTTTAGAAGATTTTTATCTGATTTTATGGTTTATAAATAATTAACTTTACTTGGAGTAATGTCATTTGGGTTAATAATACATTTGAAGAATGAGAAAAGTTCATATAAATCTTTGCTAAACCTTAATTTAATTAAACAATTTCGAAAAGAACTTTTACCGTTTCCTTAATTTAAAAAAAAAATTCTTCCTATAGTTTCTTATGTTCTATGGTTTATTTTATTATTATTTTTTTATTCTATTAATATTTTCTGAAGCATTCTATTTATTCGTAAAAATTTTCCGAAACAAGTTAAATGTTAACAACGAAAATGATGAATCATTTACCAATGAATCAATTTTTGTACGAAAATATTAGCTGAAGCATATTATCAGTCTTTAAAAGTAAATAAATGGATCAGTAATCAAATTTTGCTTTGTGCGATTCATATCACTATAGATATTTTACTTAAATTGTTAAAACTTACACGAATATTGTTATCAATTTACAAAATTAAGCTTGTAAATGTAAAGCTTACTGTCTCTTGTAATTCCCTTGAGAAGTCTTTATTCTTTCTAAAAGTTCAATTAACAGATTTCTTGTCATCTCTTTACGCTTATCAGCACTTAAACAAAATACTTTTAAAGCATTTTATAAAACACAAAACAAATTTTTAAAGCTATATAGAATAGACCTTTTGAAATTTGAGGGTTTTATCCGTTAGGTTTCAAACGATTTTATCCATTAGCGAAAAATCTATTATTGTAGTACAGTGAATTCAGGAAAGAATGTTTGAATGCTTATTAGTAATAAATACCTTACAAAGTAATTTATTTCTTCTTAGTTTTATCGATTTTTAATATAGTTCTAGGAATCATAAGATAACTTAGCTCTAAAATAATCTTATGCCTCAATCCTTTTAATTGTAATTTAACGGAATTCTTTGACAAGAGATGAAAGGAAGTAGAATTTTTCTGTCAATCAGGATTAAGTGTAATTAAATTGTTTGTGTTAAAATACTCTCAACGAGATTAACAATAAAGAAAAGAGCTGGCAAGCGCTTTTGTTTATTCTTGCAAACGGTCTGTTTCTGAATTATCGAAAAATTACTTAAAGGGTTTAAGTATTGTTTTTTTTTCTACTCCATTAAACAGTATTTAAACCCGTTGACAATAAGAGAATTTGTGAATGGATACATAATGAATTTCTTAACGGCAATTAAAAACCGAACCTATTTATAAACATGTTCTCAATGAAAAACACCACCCTTCTTCTATCGTATTGTTCTCGGATTAGTGGTGTTTAATTAGAGTCCATTACCATTTAAATAACAGTAAATCTCATAATTGACAAATATTTTGAATCTGTACATTAATTACAAATAATTAATAAATTTATCTTAAAATTCGATTGATTTTATTTTATTTTTCGGTTTAGATTCAAAACGGATTTCGGATAGAGTTATTTTTATCTCGATACGATATAAAATTTTCCAATAATAAATAATATTAACCTAAATTTAAAATTTTCCTGTTTTAAGTTCGTATTTATTTTAAGTGTCGCCATCTCTCGATGATTATTAAGATTAGATTTATACGCATTTTATAATGGATTTGTTTTTTTTTAATAAATTCTTAACGAATAAATTAAAAATAAAAATTGATTACTAGTTTTTNTGTAGCTACATTTAAACTTAATTTTAAAAAATAATAAATTAAAAAGAATTTTATTAATGTAATGAATGTATGAATTTAGTTTTTATTAGTTATATTATATTAACTAACAAAAATATAGCTGGATAAGTCATATGTACACGTATTGTTTGCTTTATTGCTTATCATACTATTTATATTTTTATTTAAACTAAAAATAAAAATTATATATATCATATATAGATCTTAATACGGGTAAATAACCTGAAAATTTGAGCTATTATTTTAAATTTTAAAAATAAAATATTTATTCGTTTTAGTTTATCTATTTTTTAAAAATTTCGATTTTCTTTGATATTATATGCATTAAGATAGCCTTTTCCATACTTATCATGGCTTCCATAATGACAGGCATAGAAACATGGGATGAGCACGATTGAGAACTTGTATGGAGCCCGAAGGTAGAGCGTGTTCCTTTTGCCTGTTTTTGTTTTTGAATGAATGAAATATGTAGAATATTTTTTTTATTAATCAAAAGCAGTCTTAAATAATTTTAACTTTTGTTAGTAAAAACAACATTAATTTATTTATAAAGATGCCCCAAGTTTTCTCCTGGCCTGAAGAAATATTCCCAGCTTTCTCTCTCGACGCAGCTGGGAATGAGAGATTAAAGGGCGCGACACAGTAACGGATTAGGTTCCTTTAAGGCCCTAGGCGCAATTTTGTTCTAAAGACCATTGTGTGTTTTTCTTTTAAATTAAAAAGACAATAAAATCTTTAAATAATAAAAGTTTTTTCTTTATATTTTATATATTATATTATAATTTTCTAAACGTTCATTTTTAGAGGCATATTATCCTTTTGCTATGTAACTTTTGCGGTCCCTCGAGACGATGATGTTTTAAGCGTACTAAATAGCCAATTAATTGATCACTGGCATAGATTAACCACTAGTGTTAATCTGTGGCCACTGCCAATGTTCCATCTAATTTTTTTTTGTGGATGAGCGGAACACATGCTTCTCTGAGCAAAAAATTTTTCTGATCATATATATATATAACCTTATTTTTTTCTATAAAAATTTAAATAATTAATTATAAAGTAGAGATTAAAATTAATTTTAAAACATACTTTTATACAAAATATTATCTCTTGTCAATGATTTAATGTATTTAATCGAAATATACGTAGCAATAATCATGTTGCAGACAGAGTGAGAAATAAGTAAACAACAATTCAAATCGGTGTGGAGGGAACACTGGCCACTGCCCACGTGGTCTACTCACCTATGAAAATTCATGAGCCGATTCCAATTCGAATTCTCTAGATAAGCAGGTTTGTGTCTGAGAGGTTTTTCAACTGATGGTCTATTTTGGCCTAGGCCATTATGCCCATATTTACAACCAAGAATCAAAAGTTTGAGTTAGAAGTTAGCCGATTAATGTTCATGTACTAAAGTGAATGGTAATTGTTTTTTTTTTTTTTTTTTTTTTTTTTTATTATAAAAGTTGGCGGTTAGACACTCTCTTCCCGCTCGAAGAGAACGAAGAGACTTACAAGAGTGTATATTTGGTTCCAAGAACGACTCATTAATGCATCTTAGGGAAGCTACCCATTCGGTAAATTTCTTAAGATTTTTGGGACAATTGGCACAAAATTGATCAAGTAGTAAAAATTAATTAAGCCATTTTTAAATTTTAAAAACAAATATATTAAGAATATTTTTTATTATTAAATTATTCAATGATAATAAAATATAAAACTTGAATAAGCCTTTTAATTCTTATTTTTATTGTGATGAGGCTCTTTTAATTATTATTTTCTTCGCTTTTATTGAAATATGTAGAAGTAAGAAAGTCATGCATTTATGAATTTTTTTTACATCACAGAACGAATATCATATAGCTTATAATGCCTTATAAATAAAAATAACTCTATAAAAATCTTCAAAAATCTTGAATTTATATCATTGTGAAAAAGTTTTCTTTACAGTTATGGCCATATTCACAACCAAGGATCAAAAGTTAGAGTTATAAGTTAATCAATTACCATTACCATCGTACGTTAACCGAAGAAAAGAATAAGACTCCTCTGTGAAGGTAGTATAAATGATAGTTGATTGTAAACTCTCTCTCTTATAGATTAGAATCTCAGGTTAATTTCGAATAATCTCGCAAAATCTTTTAATTGATTCTCATGCGCATAAGTATAGTGTATCCCATTTATAATAATAAAATAATAATAATAATAATAATAATAAACCAAATGTTTTCTTTTGTTTTCTTGTCTTTATATGTATATCATGTTTGGGTGTTGGTATCAATAACTATATGTTATTTAAGTCTTAGTTCAGTATTTATTCCTGTATATAATTTTAGATTTAGCCCTCTATTTTTATTTTGATTAGTATAATAAGCTATTTGTACATGGAATGCTCAGAGGCTTAATGAAACCCCCTTCTCTATCTCTTCTCGGTCCATTACATGCTGTTGCCCCGTAGGCTACCGAATGGGTAGCTTCCCTATGCATTAGTGTGTCATTCTTGGAACCAAATATACACTCTTGTAAGTCTCTTTTAATGCTTTTCGAGCGGGAAGAGAGTGTCTCATTAACCGCCAACTTTTACAAAAAAAAAAAAAGAAAGAAAAAACCAATTACCATTCACTTTAGTATATGAATATTAATTGGTTAACTTCTAACTCAAACTTTTAATTATTGGTTGTAAATATGGGCATGAAAGATTATATATAAATACATGGGGGTCTGTAGAAGCACTCGAGTAAAATATTCCATAAATTATAATCGTAAAAGCAATTGAGAGGTAACCCTTAAACCCCGACCATGGCAATACTGTATTCTATAATCTACTCGTGAAACAAGCCCCCAAAAATTTATTGATGTAATTATTTGTCTCCAATCTTCGCCCTCCTGGAAAATTTTATGCATACGCCCATGTATAAACATATAGATAATAATAATAACGTTGCAATACATAGAAAATGATACGGGTAAATAACATAAAAAATCGAAGTTTTTATTCTAAAATTCTAATTTAATCAACTCATAATTAAACTAAATAAAAAATTATCCACTTTTAGACACAAAACTAAACAGAGAACAATTAAAACGATAAAAAAAATGCTCTTAAAATTTAGAATATTCTGTCGTAACTTTTAAGATATAAAACAGTGTAATATAAAAGGACAAATAACAACCTAAAGCTTAGAAAAATTTCAAAAAAACACTTTAATTTTTCAGGTTTTTTTTAAAATAAATTGAATAATTCGAATATTAATAGACAATGATAAAATATTTGTCTGTTTAAATCGAAGAAATGCGCTTTTATCCCAAATCTTAACAGATTCTAAGATAAATTTCAGAGACTTCTGGAATTAATATTTTAATTAGCTGTAATATAACTTTTTACTGTTATATTTATCATTGTTTTCCCTTTCCGTAAAATTATAATTAAAAATTTCGAAATAAATGTTTTTATGGATGCATTTAAAATCTATTTAATGACCCTATAAATTGCGCAAATTACGTTATTAGTTAACTTATATTCTTCAAAAACACGGAATCATTTTTAGGCTTTGAAATGTCGTATTATCTGAGTGACAGGTAATTTTCAAATCTTTCTTAAATCACGTGATACGATGTCACGCGCTAGATACCTCACTTCTTTTTGATCATCAGAATGGATCGTTCATTATTGTTATTATGTTATTAGATATAATATAAATTCGAAAAAAATTTAAACAAAATATTTAAAATGTTGTTGTACACGGATGTAGAGTAATCAGAACTTTTAAAATGGAAATTTATTTTAATTTCTTCAAAATATACAAAGTTTTATTCCAAATGTTTTGAATAAAACAATACTCAGTTATCTTTCTGTATGTCTTCTGCTTTCATCTTTCACGGAGCCTCAAGCATTATTATGATCTAAATAAAAAGACATGTAATGTGATGGTTGTGTTAAAATTCTTACTTTTTACTTGCAGAGAATATAGAATCAAACCTAGATATAGCGACTTCCTAAATAACACCAAAGAATACCTGTGAAAGAGTTTCTCCCTTCTGTATCTATGAATTATTAGGTGTACGATTTTGCATTACAAACGACATCGTTATTACTTAATGGCATGACTTCTCTCAAAACTTGTTTGTGGACTACTTCAATTATACAATTTTTATTGTTTGAAGTATTTCTATTTAACTCCACATTCGATTTACTGCTATATACAGAAGCATATGATGGCGCCTAGTCGGAGTTTATATGACCAATAGCTACGAATTTTACAGTCGAAGCATTTCAATGAGGATTGAGAAATGGCTGGATTATCCATATTTCATTTAAAGCAGAACTATTAAAAATCATTTGAATATTTTTATATCAGCACTTTCTCAAGCCATGTTCTGAAACAGTTTTACTGTATAACCAAGATTTTATTTTAAAAAAATAATAATAATTACAATTGCTTCTATGCATTTTACATAAAATACTGTGTTTTCCACAGAAGGATTAGTATTAGCTTTTCATATTAATCCTTTATAGGTTCATAAGTATATAAATCTATAATAAAAATTATTTTCTAAGTAGATTCTAGTAATATATTCTACATTTCTATATGAATCATTAAATTAATTTTTCTTAAATTTTAAAAGGTTAACTAATAATAAATAAATAACTTATTAAATGATATTTTAGTAAAAAGATTATGGTTTCTTTAATTATTTTATTATCGGACTTTCGTTAAATACTTTTATCATTTTGATAAAACATTTGGACTTTTCGTAAATTTAATATATTATAAAATAATATTTATGTTTTTTCCAAATTATTTTATTTCATTAATCATCATCATTATTATTCATTCAACGATTAGGGCTTTTGCTTGATCCCATCATTATCATGTTGTTATTTTTTATCAGTTGATATTAGAAAACTTTTTGTTGAATTTTTCTACAAGAATAGTATTATCATATGATTAAAAATCATATTTTACACATTTATTTTATTAAATTTTTTATCTCGAATTTTAAACAATTGGGTGTATTTTAGTAGGAAAATTATAATTACTGAACAGTACTAATTTCACGTCGTTTATCTATTTGTAACATTGTTATTGTTTTGTAAAAAAAGAACAAAATAAAATACAGTATTTTATATTCAAATTAATTTTTGTTTTTTTTGACACATTTTTTCATATCTTAATTTTAGAAGATTTTTATCTGATTTTATGGTTTATAAATAATTAACTTTACTTGGAGTAATGTCATTTGGGTTAATAATACATTTGAAGAATGAGAAAAGTTCATATAAATCTTTGCTAAACCTTAATTTAATTAAACAATTTCGAAAAGAACTTTTACCGTTTCCTTAATTTAAAAAAAAAATTCTTCCTATAGTTTCTTATGTTCTATGGTTTATTTTATTATTATTTTTTTATTCTATTAATATTTTCTGAAGCATTCTATTTATTCGTAAAAATTTTCCGAAACAAGTTAAATGTTAACAACGAAAATGATGAATCATTTACCAATGAATCAATTTTTGTACGAAAATATTAGCTGAAGCATATTATCAGTCTTTAAAAGTAAATAAATGGATCAGTAATCAAATTTTGCTTTGTGCGATTCATATCACTATAGATATTTTACTTAAATTGTTAAAACTTACACGAATATTGTTATCAATTTACAAAATTAAGCTTGTAAATGTAAAGCTTACTGTCTCTTGTAATTCCCTTGAGAAGTCTTTATTCTTTCTAAAAGTTCAATTAACAGATTTCTTGTCATCTCTTTACGCTTATCAGCACTTAAACAAAATACTTTTAAAGCATTTTATAAAACACAAAACAAATTTTTAAAGCTATATAGAATAGACCTTTTGAAATTTGAGGGTTTTATCCGTTAGGTTTCAAACGATTTTATCCATTAGCGAAAAATCTATTATTGTAGTACAGTGAATTCAGGAAAGAATGTTTGAATGCTTATTAGTAATAAATACCTTACAAAGTAATTTATTTCTTCTTAGTTTTATCGATTTTTAATATAGTTCTAGGAATCATAAGATAACTTAGCTCTAAAATAATCTTATGCCTCAATCCTTTTAATTGTAATTTAACGGAATTCTTTGACAAGAGATGAAAGGAAGTAGAATTTTTCTGTCAATCAGGATTAAGTGTAATTAAATTGTTTGTGTTAAAATACTCTCAACGAGATTAACAATAAAGAAAAGAGCTGGCAAGCGCTTTTGTTTATTCTTGCAAACGGTCTGTTTCTGAATTATCGAAAAATTACTTAAAGGGTTTAAGTATTGTTTTTTTTTCTACTCCATTAAACAGTATTTAAACCCGTTGACAATAAGAGAATTTGTGAATGGATACATAATGAATTTCTTAACGGCAATTAAAAACCGAACCTATTTATAAACATGTTCTCAATGAAAAACACCACCCTTCTTCTATCGTATTGTTCTCGGATTAGTGGTGTTTAATTAGAGTCCATTACCATTTAAATAACAGTAAATCTCATAATTGACAAATATTTTGAATCTGTACATTAATTACAAATAATTAATAAATTTATCTTAAAATTCGATTGATTTTATTTTATTTTTCGGTTTAGATTCAAAACGGATTTCGGATAGAGTTATTTTTATCTCGATACGATATAAAATTTTCCAATAATAAATAATATTAACCTAAATTTAAAATTTTCCTGTTTTAAGTTCGTATTTATTTTAAGTGTCGCCATCTCTCGATGATTATTAAGATTAGATTTATACGCATTTTATAATGGATTTGTTTTTTTTTAATAAATTCTTAACGAATAAATTAAAAATAAAAATTGATTACTAGTTTTTTGCAAATTTTTCATGTTACCGGTTCTATTTCTTGTTTAAAATTTTATATAAAACTAATAAATGTTTTATATTAATAATTACTTATAGCATTAATATTGCTGCTTTTATCAATCGATACCAGAGGGCACTTCCTTATCTCTGTTTTGTATTCAGGAAAAATTGATGATGACGTCAGCATCACATGATGATTACAAATCGGAAATTACTGCTTTCTGGTTTGTCATGCTTGACAGTAAACTATTTAAACACGTTTAAACAATCAATTTCTACACTTTAATTGAATAAGTATTCCAATCCAAAATAGTCTAGTCACCTTTTCATGCAGCTTCTCTAACAATCAATATGTGATATTATTGTTTTAATTATTAAATTAGGAAACACGTTAAAAGCTTCTAAACGCAAAAATTTGAACAATTGTTTAATTTCTTTTTAAGTTTAAAAGATATTTACTCTTTTAATTAACATTCATGGGATATAATCTCTAAAAATATGTTCCATTAGAATAATAAGCTTAAAACGAAACCTATGAATTCATAAGAGATAATTATCATTCAGATAATCCTTATTTAAAGTGACAGAAAAATATATGAAATGAAGAAAATATCATTAAAATAATATTAACTTTACATATATTTTAAGGAAAAAGATGAAATAATATTTATTAAATTTCTTGATATTTTTAATATTGTAATAGCAACGAAATTTTCCGTTTATTAAATCTAAATATCTATAAAATTTTATATCGAAATATTTTATTATTTTCTATTTACAAAGTAAAAGTTCGTTTATCGTGAAAGTCATCCTTGATTTTTATCAGGGAAACAATACTTAACACGTGAATCTATTTTTCGATTATTATTATTATTTACAGATGTAACGTTCTAAACGAGTCTACCTCTAAAGATGAAAAAATAATAAATCGATTAAGAATATTTGGGAAAATTTATTTATTTTTCATTGAAAAAATACAATGAATTTCGAGCGAACTTGTTTGCTTAAAATACACCAATGAGAATTTTTAAAATTACAAACAATCGCTTTGTTATGGATGAACTATTTGCCGCTACCCATCTCCTATAACCATTAAGAATGTCGGACTTTGATCCAGGCGGATAACGCTTCCGCGAATTTTTACAAAAATGTTATAATTTAATATAATTATATATGTATAAAGTTTAATTTAATAGCGATATTGACTGGAGACAAAGAAAATTTCGAAATTGTAACGAAACGACATTCGACGTAAATCCTTTCGCCCCATTACTTCTCAACCGACCGACCAATCAGGAACGTCAGAAAAAAGGAAGCTCAAGAGGAGACTTTAAATATCCCGCGACCATGGCGCCACCTGTTAGATGCGCATGAGCAGAAAGTCAGTTCGACTGCATCCGTCCATTCGACAATCATGTCCCGAAGGAAACAGCCAAATCCCAAGAACATCAAGCAACAAGGTAAATTATATTCGATCTAATTTATTATTTAACTTATTTATATGAATTTTTTAAACTTATTTAATTTATAATTTTATAAATAATTATCGTATAATTAAATAAATCAACGGTAAAGTTAAAGATACCCGGATCAGTATAGAGTCAGTGATGGCGGATCTGGTCCGTGCGACTTTTTCAAGAAATGTCGAAACAGATGATAACGTAGATACAACTTGTTTCATTTCCTATATTGTCGATGAGATGACGTCGTTGATACGTTAAAGCTGTTCGAAATTTATATTAATTGATACTTAATACTTTTATCAGTGGTGGAATGCGTAGATGGGTACAGTCCACCCACTTGTTAATGGAGAAGCGGATCACAAGTTGTGACGGAGATGACTTGTTTCCCTCTTTGTATTCCTTCATTTGTAATCGCTGTATTTCTTTCTCGTTTCGTCTACCGATTTTTCCCTACAATTAACTATTGTTTCCGCGCGTGCTGCTTTAAAAATTTAATCAATTTCACACGTGTTTTTATGTGTAATAATTATTTATTATTATTATTTTTTTAATCGGGATTTTTAGAGGTTGCGCCCGTCTCGCGAAATTTTTTTTAAATAGAATTTTAAAAAATTAACGCGGTTTTTAAGCTTTTAAATTGTTAAATTATTATTTTTATTGGTAAATATTTCGGAGTTTATTACTTATCATCGTGATCGTCGGACGTCTGTTCATTGTTCGATCACTCGGTGTTTAAGCGTTATGTTTCTCTCTCTCTCTCTCTCTCTTTTTTTTATGGTTTCTTGGGATGTTTTATGTATTTTAAAATTTTACTATTAAGGTTAAGATTTTAACCATTTTTAGGGTTATTCTTTATTCCTTATCAAACGGGGTNAATCGTGTTTACGTTCGTTTTTATAATAAAAATAACGTTATTCAATAGAAAATAAGTCAATGGAGAGCTTCAAATTTCGTGTAAATTAGAATATCGTAAATTGCTTGTCATTAGTTGTAGGTGTTGTTTACCGTGCGACACGGTTCAGTTTTTAAATCTGTTCGATCACTCGGTGTTTAAGCGTTATGTTTCTCTCTCTCTCTCTCTCTTTTTTTTTATGGTTTCTTGGGATGTTTTATGTATTTTAAAATTTTACTATTAAGGTTAAGATTTTAACCATTTTTAGGGTTATTCTTTATTCCTTATCAAACGGGGTCAAAGGAGAACGTGGTGTTCTGAATCTGTTTACCGGGATAGCTCCAAAATGATTACACAGGATTTGTTGATGTCATTGTAACTGCAAAGACAAAAATATATATTTGTCATCGATTATTCGTTTATCATGTTTACTCTTAGGTATCTCGACTAATATTTTATAGAATTATTATTATTAATTTTTTTATTTTAACGTTTTAAATTGGGTATTATATATTTTTATAATGGAAACGAACTTTTCATTCTAAATAAATAAAGTAAATATAATTGAGACGATTATTTTTATTATCATTTAGTTTAAATTTGATATTACTTACCGAAAGAAAAAGTAATTTAAGATACTGTAATATATTTTTAAAATGAAAGCATTTCCGAATCCATAAATATTAACATTTTCGTTTTTTCTTCGTTCATTTATAGAAAAGAAAATTATATATTTATGCCTACATTTTGATTATTTAATAATAATACTAATAATTTTTTTTTAAAGTTTAAAATATATAAAATAATAACTATTAATGATAAGTTTTTATAGAGATGTTGATCACTTCCTTGTTAAATTTCTGTTAATTATTATGATTAAGTAATAAGAATATTTATAGAAGCATCTTCATCATTTGAAATTATCTTAATAAAAGAAAGAAGGGGGAAAAAAAGAGCATCTTAACACTTTTGCAAGCAGACAAAACTTCTTTTCTGATGAAATTTGAGTAGGTATCCACTTGAAATCGATGAGGGAGTTATATTCCCAACGCTGTAATTAATTCCAAATAGCTCACTCTTAAATAATAAGTGTCTTTTATCTTGTCTCAAAATTCTCGCATCCTTCAAATTAAAAAAAAAAATTATTATTATTATTATTGTTATTATTATATAAGCCACTCTACTTACGAAATACTGTATTATAAAATCTTGAAATGAGTGCTTAGTATCCTAGGAGGAAAAATAAATGTGGCTAACAATAGAAAAATATTTAGTAGCCAACAAATTGATTATTTAATAGGTGAACATGTTAAGTCATTTATAGACCTGCATATCTACTGTAGAGCAATTGCTTCATTAGATGTTTAGATTATCACTGGCTACACAAATTGTGTAATGATTGTGTTCCCAATTTCATTTCAAATGTGTGTCGTGAGTAGATGTACATGACACACATATGAGTCCAAAAGGTAAAAATATCATGACGACATTGAAAAGTTAGATTATCTGTAGATCAGCTATCAATGCAATAGATACAGAAAAATTACCGATGATAAATTTAAATGTCGTTTTAAAAAATGTATAACCGAAAAAAGGAAATATAAAATTAAATTATTAATATTATTTACTGTGTGAAATATTTTAAATACTTTCGTTTTAAGGAAATATAATTAAAGAAAGAAGTGGAGATTGAAAAATGCGAAGGAATTTTATTTTTATTTTATTTTCTTTTTCTTTTACCTAATTCCTTTACCTCTTACTGAGAAGTAGGGAAAATAACGCGTTTTCGTAACAGGATGCTAGCTGATCAAACTTCCTCTACTTCTTATAGTTGACTATCATCTAGAATTAGATAAGTGAAGATTAGGAAGTTTGCATATACTTTAAAATTTTTCATTTGTAAATTCGAAAAAATATATATTTAATTTAAACAATTAACTGATAAACACGAAACGTGTTCGCACAGGTGCGACGAGTTACCCGCCATTGTAAAAGACGTTAAGTTCCTCCGATGCGGGTTTCGATGATGGTCATTCGGTGACGTAGGAGTTTTGACCTTGATGACGTAAAATCTGTTTTCCTTCCATCTGTAAAGGGTGAACATTTTTAATTCCTCATACTTTCTTGACTTGTTTAGCCAACAGGAAGACATTTTATACTTAATACATCTCTCACGATTCTCGTACTTTTGTTTTGCGGGGTGTGTTTTGTTTCACCCGTCTAAATCTGCACCGAGTAACGAATCCGACAATCCTATTCGCACACTTCTTTAAACTGAACAAAAGGGGATTTTTTTGTTACACCCATCTCCACTCCGATCATCCAATCGATGCGTCATCACTCACGTGTCGCATTCGTAAAATATTTTTAAGTTTATTTAAATAAAATTTATATATATATATATATATATTTTCACATGTTTTTTTTAGTACAGAAGAATTTTTTAAGTCCTCTTTCGGAGAATATCGTTCCAATACACTAGCAGGTTCTATTGTCCAGTTTACGGTTTTGTTTCTAATTTTAGTATACCACATCGTTTAAACGATACATCGTGACATCAATCGACAACACGACATTATTATGCCCTTAGGTATTCTTCATGATACTAATGATGACGTTTGAGGTTTGTGTATGATATTTGTCAAGAGAAAAATTAAATAATAATAATAATAATTAAAAAATTATCATAAAATCGTGTTTACGTTCGTTTTTATAATAAAAATAACGTTATTCAATAGAAAATAAGTCAATGGAGAGCTTCAAATTTCGTGTAAATTAGAATATCGTAAATTGCTTGTCATTAGTTGTAGGTGTTGTTTACCGTGCGACACGGTTCAGTTTTTAAATCAGATAAATGTCATCCTATCCAATTGTTACAGTCGTCTTTATGAAAGTTTAAAGTAAAAATTCTTGTTTCATAGTTTGACAAAGATTCGAAACTTGAGTTATAGTGTATGATGTAGGGTGGAGTCGATGGCTCACTCGAACACGGTACCTTGTACTGTTTCCATTGTCGTTGTCATGGAAACGTCGTCTCCTTGGTGATGCTGGACAAGTATCGATTTTGATACTTTGCGACATTTTTCCACAAAAACTGTCTGAACTCAATTCTCTACATCTGGAGTGAGGATGTTTTCAAAACGCCTTTGGCGGTTTAGAAACAGGGGTGGGTTAACAGGAATTGACAAACCAGGTGGGTTTAAGAAACTTAAGGCTATTCTGTATGTCCTCCGGTTCAAACAGACCCTATGGGGAGAAATAAAAGTAGATGTAAACTAATGGACGATCCATCGATTTTATTATATTTAAACAGCGTAAAATGTTTTTAATACGTTAAACAGGGCTTGTATCTATATTTCTATTTATCTGAAATATTTGACTGGAAGATAAATTTAACCGATTGTGAGTTCTCTCGAGCCAAAGAGGGCCAAGGACATCTCAATTCAACCACCTGCTAACTTAGATGTTTTGGCTTTTTCTTAACAGTTGCATCGATTCTCTTTTCTCCTCGACAGCCCCTCTACGTGGCTGCAATATTTCCTCTCGTTCCGCAACGTCGCACAACTCAACGGACACCTTCTGTTAACAACCATCCTTATTCCTTCCACCCCCACAGGTGGTTAGAAGATGGACTGGTCGGGATGATGGGGCGTCGCACTTCCCGCATCCTGATAGTCCCACCTGCCACAGTCCTTAGACAACGTCTGATTCAAAGGTAAATGTTTAGTATTACAGAATGCGATTCGCTAGACCGTCACACTGTTTCTCGACTTTTGTATTTCATGTCGTTAACCTCGCTCCGATGCGTATCGGAGGATAGAACATACTTGTTGCCCCCGCGGCCTGTGCCTTACACCATACTCTTTTCCGTTCCTTGTTCTCCCTAACTCTAGGCAAAAACTAATTTATATTTTCTTTTTTTTTCTAGTTTGTGTGGTTGAGCTACTATTCTCTCGCAGTGCGGTTAACGATTTACTTGTTGAGTATGAAAAGTGATGTGTAAACTTTTCTTTATGAGATTCTCGAGTGTTTACGGTTTTAAAAAATAGAGGAAAAAATTGGGTTTTCGCTCCGTAGAAGTCGTACTTATCGTATAACTAGCTTTTCGGGAAGAGGCGCGATGCTCTGGTTTTCTGACTATTGATCTCGCGAAAGTATTTCATATTCTGCGACTGAAAGTCGCCGTTACCTTGACAACATCGTCAAGACATACACAAACACCCTCATGACATTTCTCCGCCGCGCAATTTGGTAGAAGGGATCAATAGAAAGCACAAGGATATTGAACCTCGGAATTCTTTTCGCCCCCATCCTCAACCCCCGCGTCGAATGAAGACGAGGTGAACGTCCGACATGTCCCGGGATGAACGGAGGGAGAAGTCCTGGGCCCCCACGACTCCATGCCCTCAGGTAAGAAAAGGGGAACTCCCCGATCGATTAGTCTTGCCCCTCAGTCCCGTGATCAGCTGCATCTGGAGTCAGGTCTGTGTACAGGATGGTTGCTATAGCAACTCGTTTCTGCGCGCGCGCTATCACCACCCTCTATATCTCGATTCGATAGACCTTTTTTTCCTCTCCTCCACCACCACCAAAGAGGTAATTTTTATCCTTAATTCGCGCCATTTATCGCTGTAGAAGAGCGGTCCAAATGAGTTAAATTCGGCAATTCCCACCCCCCTCGTTCGGCGCGACTGTGGGAGAAAGCCTTTATGGAATCGCGGTCGGGATCGAAAAAGTAACTTTCATTAAGTCGGGTTAACGCTGCCGAAAAGTAGTTTTGCGTAATCTCTTAAAATTGTTAATTTTCTCCCTCTCTCATCTCTAATTCTTTCCAGTTGACTCGCTCTAATTACCGTAGTTTGAGACATCCTGCTTGTTTACTCGGCGATGAGTCAGGCTGTGCGGATTGCGGAGTCGTTGACGGTTGCCATGGCGACCAATCGAACTACCTGCACTACAGCTTTTGCTTTACATCATCCAGTGGCTAAACGCATCAAACTATAGACACCTGGCACCGCAATATTTTTGTCTACTTGGTTCCTTGTTGCTTTTGTTATTTTCTATCGCGTGGGAATTTTAATGCCATTAAATATCTACTATACAATTTAATGTTTCTGAAACTTTTTTCTTTTCTTTTGTTTTTCTCCTTTTTTTTTGATAAAATTATGATAACAAAATTTACCATTTTTTAAACTGTTTTATGGAAAAATAATTATAAATAAAATTGAACTTTTTTTTTGAACAAACAACTTGGGTTTTAACATTGTATTTATTGTATCTTGTGATCAATAATTTAAAATTAGAAATTCAGGAATGATAAGGTTAAATCTATCAGAATTAAAATTTGTCTAATAAAATTGTTTATTTGTTATATAATTAAAGTGAAATGTAAATTTAAATTTTTAACATTTAAAATAAAAAAAAAAACACTTTTATCATTTTTTTAAAGTTGTGTGTTTAAATACATTTTATTTATAAACATGTTAAAGAAAATCAGAATATGTAATACCGGTATGTTTTTCCTCTAATAAAGTGATATGTGGCATATTACAATAAACGTTGCGATCTAAGGGCATGCTTCTACATATGTAACTTAATGAAATTTCTAAATTTTATTACCGTATTGTGTTATTTTAACTAATCATTTTATTCAACGTATCTGTACAGATTTACCGTCGGAACACCTTGGCATTGAATTGCAACAAAACTGTGATAATACTCCAGCCATAATAAGGGACCAGACTAATTTGAATACAAATGTTAAAAGACCGAGAGGACGACCTAGCAAAATACAAACTTTACTAAAAAAAGAAGCACAGAAAAAGGCAGCGAAGAAGAAAAGTCAAAGCATGGCAGAAACTAATAGTAATGGTATGTCAATGTTATAATTTTATTTTGATTAGAAGTATTTGATTTAAATAAATTATAATTTACTACTGACACAATTACTTATTCAAATTATTTCTCATTGAAATGCTTAAGGTTGGTTTGAATATATGTAACTGAATGAATTAAAATATTGATATACATAATTTTGTTCTAAATAAAATAATTTTGATGAATGAATAAATTTCTAAATATTCTGTGTTGTAAAGTATTTACTTCCACTCAATTATTTTAAATTTTTATTAGTGACTTTTACAATATATATGATATTCTTACTTTATTAAGAAACGTAAAAAGGTTTGAATTATGCATATGTATATTTTTAAAGTGTAAATATATAATCTGTATATTTTATATTGATATTATATCTTCATATATTTACAATACATTGCATTTATCTAAAATAAAGTTTAGACATGAATGCAATGTGTTCTTTAAAAGGATGAACTGAATAATTACTTCATTCAATCAAAATTTAGTTAGTTCAGACAAATCAATTAATGCTATGAAAAAGAGAGAGTTATTTATATAATTAAATCTAAAAATATAATTTGATTTGTTTACTTCTAAATTTTTACAATATTTTGATAACATGATTGTGGTTTTTTATAAAATATGTATTTATACAAAAAGTTCTCAGAAAGTGGTTATTACTTGTAAACAGAATGCTATATTTATAATTAACTGATATGAGAATAAACTTGTTGCAACTTGTTTTATATGTTATTCATGTCTAGTCTCATCAGATTTTTTTTAGTCCCAAGTTTAGTCCCAAGACATTAAAGGTGTTTACTGGTAATCAATAATCAAGTGAAACGTTTTGTAGTTTATTGGCTAGAATCAAAGAGCACTGATTTCTACTAGAAGGGTTTAGAAAGTTGGCAACACTGTATGGAAGATGTTTTAACTCAGATGGGACAAATGTTGTGAAGTGCTAAATTCAATTTGCTGTCTATTTTATTTACATTTTCTGGGAACTGTTTGAACACTCCTATAGAAGGTGTAACAGAAATATATGTAAAAAATTTGAGGGATTGTAGAAAGATTAATTTTGACTCAAAAACTCTAGAGCCATTTTTTTTTTTTTTTTTTTTTTTTTTTTGAAGCATTTGAGGTATAAGCAATTTTTAAAAATTGTGACGTCACTTCCTGTTTAGCAAAATGCCATCTGATGTATGAAAATATTTGTTGATAACTGCATGTTAGTTTGATATCCATTACTTATTATCTGCAATTTTATTAATTTCTACTTTTATTTTGAGTCTTTTTTGTAACAATATATGGTTTAACTTCATACGTCTGCTCCAGGCTGGTGGTAAGTTCCACAATTAGCCAAAATTTGCATATTTCAATTAAGAACATCTTTGAATACAGAATATTTTAAACATTTAAATGTACTGCTAATTTTAATGCTAATTTCTATATCTGAATATCAAAAATTTATTATGAGATTCAATCAAAAATTGCCCAGGAGTGTTTGAACATGTCTGTCTATCTTATGTCAATGTGCTTAAGCCTGTATTCAAGCTGATTGATGCCATTTCAAACATTTTTTGTAAATGATTTGTTATTTAAATAAAATTGTTCAATAATGTCTGTAAGAACTTTGATTGATAAATTACTAAAGCATCCTTTATTTTTCCTTAGAGTTGCCACAAAATACAGCTTTGCGAGAGCAAAACATTAGCAAATGTGCAGCTCTTATGCCTATTATAACCAGTATTGTTACCAAAAAGACTCAAAATTCAAGTAACAAATTAGCAAAATTGCAGATAATAAATAACAAATATCAAACTAACATACCTTTCTGTTACACCCTGTATATAATAAGGTGTATATAAGGTAAATTGTAAGGTCACCTGATAATAGTTACTAACCACACAATTTAAATATACCAGTATACACCATATTATATACAAGAGACATGTTGAAAAGTGACATAATTTAAAAAACAGATGGCTTAGTTAATTTAAATAGAGCTCATTCCCGAACATTTTTCATAGTGTTCCAGATTAAAAAGATTGGCTAAAAAATCTTCTATGAAAAGCTTGACACTAGCCCTGAAAGAGATCAAAAACAGTTGCTTCATGTATATGTATGTTGAAATTGTTGGAAACATGTGAAAGGGTCAGTATAGCATCAATATTCAAAAAGTTCCCAGAAAATGTAAATAAAAAGACAGCAAATTGAATTTAGCACTTTATTTTTTAACATATATTTTTTAACATACATTCAAGTTAAAACAGTTTTCCAAACAGTGTTGCCACATTTCTAAGCCCTTCCAATAGAAATCAGTGATCTTTGATTCTAGCCACTGCATTACAAAGCCAACAGTGGATTGACAATGGTCGATCATGATGATGATGATGATATGATGTAGACAACTATACACATATGCACAAATATATATATATATATTCATTTATTTAATTATGTACATGTATGTAAATGTCTACCCTGTGTATATATTTTCTTAATGTATATACATCAAGAAAATATTTGTTATCAGAAATCATCACTATTTTTAAACTGGCTTTTCTTAGCTTGAATGCATACTTAACATATATTTTATTTTTGATATAAAAATTCTATAATTTGATCTTAATTATATTATCAAAAATGTAAGAAAAGCTTCTTTATATTTGACTGGTAGTCTTATTTTAGATAAATTTTAATGTATCTAAATAATAATAATAATTTATGTATCATATGAAGGAATCATCAATAAATATTGTTAATGAATATAGTAATCATGCAAAAAATCAAGAAATAAATGAACGTAGAAAGTGGAGAATATTATTAATAAAATGAACATTTTCAAATAATTATAATATAAATAATCCTAACATAAAGAAACAAGGAAATAATATAAAGATCTGCTTCATTTTTTATGGTATTTTTATATCAATCAATCTTTATTTGATATAACGAGTGTTATTACAAAGGAGTTTTAAAAAATTTATTTTAAGTTTGATACATGAATGAAGAAATTATATAATTTATACAAACTTAGCATGGTAAAACTATCACTGAATAAAATTTGGTAACAAAAACCAGATGGCAGTGTAGTAACTCAAATATCCAAAAGAATATTGCAAGATTCAAGAAGGTGTTTTCTCATATCCACCGCTGTTGTTCCACAGGTATTTTTATATAAAAACTACAAAACACAATAATACACAAAAGATATGAATAAAACAATTGTAATATGCTAATAAAATAGATTATTTACTGTACTAGTTTTATTTATTTTTATATATATTTAATTTTTATTGTTTTTTTATAATTATTTTATATATTTAATACATAAATGTAAATAGCTTATGTAAAGATCTGATTGTTGTTATTGTACCTGTTGTTGTAGATATACAGTAAAAACCTGTTCAAAACAGAACCTTAATAAAACAGAAACCTGCCTATAAGGGCAGGTTTCTGTTAAAAATTATTTGAAGCACAGTGATTTTCTGTGTTAAAGAAAAGCCAATTCAAACAGAAATCTGGCAAACTGGAAGAAATATTCAGTATTATGCAAGTTCTGTTTACACAAGTTTTACTGTATTTTTTTTTAGCATAGAAGTTAAGGGTCCATTAAGAGGAGGCAATTGGGAATTTGTCCCAGGGCCAGAGAAAACTTAGGAAAGAATAATGGTATCCCTTTAAATCAGTGATTCTCAAACTTTTTCGATCCACCGCCCCCTTGTTCCATAAAGTTATACCCAATGCCCCCTAACCCATTTTCTTTTGTGTGTGAAAAGGATTGGAAATATTCTTAGGAAAACTTTTCTATGAATCTCACACTTTGTGCCCTAACTATATATTGTTCTCATCATCTGGAAACCATTAAACGCAATGTTTCCTCTTATCAGCCCCAATTTTGCCTTTGGTCACCGTTCAATACCCTGTCTCTATCATAGATCTATTCATCGCGCCAGAAGGGGACGTTATTGCTTACTTTGAGAAACGCTGAGCTAAAATAAAAGTCAATGTGTTAGAAATATTCAAGTTGTGACCTTCAATAAAAAATAAAAAATATATAAAATGTCAACATTTTATATATATTCCGTCGAATTTTTATATATAGAATTTGTCTGCCGTCGCCCCTCTATATTTCCTTAACGCCCCCAATTCTCTTTGAGCCTTCTACTGCCCCCCTGAAAGCCTCCAGCGCCCACAAGGGGGCGTTATCGCCCACTTTGAGAAACGCTGCTTTAAATTAATGTTATTTTTACTAATGAAAAATAAAAAAATTCTTTAAAAGCCCTTTTTATTAATAAAGAAACATTCTATGTATTTGATTTAAAAAAAAACAAGAGGCCTGCTGTATCCTCCAGTTCATGCAAGCTCTCACTTGCCATAGAAGTCAGTTAACAATAATACAATATTCCATAATATAATCATGAAGGAATAATTTAATTAAGAGAAGAGCTCTTTTGCTGTATATATAAAAATAATACCTCGTAATTTCAGTTAAATAATTGAAATAAAATATATCAGTTGAGAGAAATTGACTACTGTACTTTTTTAAAATTACTGCTCATAATGGTATTAAATAAAATTAGCCTGTTTAATATACATAGTTTGGATATATGGGAATCATGTATTGTAACTGAGTTCAAATAAAGTTGTACTATTTCAGAGTAGGCAACAAACATCTAGAGAAATGAGCATATTAAAAATAATATTAAATTATCTTTTAATAAGTTTCCACAAAGAAAAGCTTTTTATGGAAAGTACATGATAATTTTATCACTACCAGATAACATGATTAACTATAATCACATATCTTAAATAATAAAGATATATGCAAAACAAATATTGATAGATAAATGAAATTCTTTTTTTTTTTCATATTTGAAGATATAATCCAATTATATTAATACAAATAAGATTTGTATTAAGTATAAATGTATATACAGTTATCTGGCAATTGACTATTTTTATTGATGCTAAAAACATTTAAAATTTTTCCTGATTTTAAATAAAAA